TACCTAAACTCTCTTTCGATGCTTAAAGCTGCAAAAATAAGCTAAATAAGAATGAATTAAGTAAGCTTTAAACAAAATAAAAATAAGATAAGAACTAAAATTATCTCAAAATTCACTTAGTTTAGGAACTTATCACTACATCCTACTTTAGATCTATGTTAGTCCTTAAACAAATCACAAAATCAATTTGTAGACAATGGTTCGAAATAGCTTTTACATTAGTTGACTCAAGAACTCATATCAAATCTTAAGGGATTGCTCATGTATTAAATGGTATTCATTCAAAATACCAATATACAAATGCAAAATCATTACATAACTTTGGTTTCTTATTTAAGTTTAAGAGATCTTCCTCTCATGAGTGTTTCACTCTTAGGCAACATTGCAAGCTTTCGCTTAGTTTTTTATTTTTGTTTTAAATTATTATATATAATTGAGTGACTAATACATCAATTGAGTGACATAAGACACTTAGTACAATTAAAGCACACTATTTGAGTATCACTTTAATGACAATACATCGTTGATATTCAACTAAAAAGTAAACCCAATAACGAGAACACAACATTTTTCAAAGTGTTATTGTTCATTTATACTTTCAAGTTTTAAAATCACTATTGCTTTAACAAATACATACCAAAAACATCCATACAAACCAACAGTACCATTATAGAAGTGCTATGATTCTCGTATCATCAAGTTTCATGTAGAATATTCATTAAATCAATATTTAAATTTATTATATGTAATATCAACTCCCATTGTTTAGGTTGAAGTGTGTTTTATCTAACAATACTTAAAAATCACTCCAAACAATCCAAATAAGCACCTAAAAATTCATTCCTACATTAACAGTAATTCCTTTTTAAACCAACATTCGAGGAGAAGAAAATAATCAAAACTTCTCCTTATTAAAATCAATATCTAAGTTCATTTTGCTCTATTCCACAAGCTCTTCAAAACTCTGATTTTAAAAAAATACACGGTCAAAACTTCTTTTATAATTACAAAGAATTTTTTTCTTATACTAAAGATTTTATAATGAATTTAAAAATAAGAAGTCATATTTAATTTATTTTAAAATTTATTAATTAAATATTACTATATCTTTCATATTTTATCATTTTCTAATTCGTTGGTACATGTTATTTTGAATACTTGATATGTAAATAGTATAAAACATCAACCTATACAAAAGTAAAAAAGGAAAAATAATGGTGGAGGTAATTTTATCATGATACATACATAATAAATTAGTTTAATGGGCAATATAATCGATCGTTGTCACAATGTTTATATCAATATTTTGATATTACAAGATTAAAATACATGAATTAGCAATTTAAATGACATCACACATCAATCTATATAATAGTAAAAAAAAATTGCGGAGGTGATTTATATATTCATAACAGTGTAATTAGTTTTATTATGGACAATATAATCCATCATTCTTAACATTTTGATATTACAACAATTAAGATGAATTACATGAATTAGTATTTTAAAATAAAAACGATGGAAGTTTTTAAAAATAGTATGGGATATTAAATTTGAAGTACACAGATTTTTTACATCCGAGTCCGTGAGTGAATAATGGTGGGAAACACTACGTGTTTTTTGTCTTGCTTCATTTATATGTTTGCTTCGGTTATAAGGGAAATGCTAACGAGGTGGCAGAATGTGAAACAGACCTTTCAAGAATGAGTGGCAGTTAGTTTTCATATGCATCAAAACAAATGTATTCTAAATAAACATCACTTTAAGATATGAGTATTGCTTTTTCTAAATTCTCAATTTCTTTGCATGCAAAATTAACTATTATAAATATGAATGAATAGATACATATATTAGGTTTATTTGGTGGTAAACAAGTAAAAGAGAAAAGTTTATTGATGCATATATTCTCATATTTCACAAGATATAAAAATAATGTGTTATAAATCATATAAATTTCATTGGATATTGAATTTCTAGAAAGCTTTATATTTGAATTAAAAGTAAAATGAATAAGTGAAACTAATTATGCATATATATGAAATCGACTTATTATATAAATATATTTTGGGATTGATTAGAGAAATGATTTATATCTAGGATGTTATTTTTATTTGAATATCTTTTATGTTGTTGGGTATTGAAATCCATTAATAAGATTTGGTTTCACCTATAGTTTAAACTATATATAAATTAAAATATCAAAGTGATGAGAAATTAAAAGAAGGTCTTACAAATAAACTATTTCACGAACAATTTTTGATTTCTGATCATCAAAAAAATGTTTAGGTGTTGCGGTTAATCATCCATTTATTTAAAGAGTTAAAATATCATTATTGCACTTTTATAATAATTGATTTTCTTCATTACATATTATGTTATTCTAACCTTTAATTTTACATGCATAAAAATAATGATTCGTTATGTATTCAGTTTAATGAGAAGTAAACCAAGTTCCTTATTCTTACTAGTGTTAGGTTTATTGAGGATGACGTTTTTTGTGAGTTACATAAAAATCAATAACATTTGAGCCAACTATATAAGGGATCGACACCACTATTTATCCAAAACCTTAAGATAATGAGCTAATGTGTCTTTCACCTTTATATACTGCTCTACTTTCTCATTTTTGTCCATTGTGAGACTTAGATTCACACTCCCAATAACTAGGACTATGCATTTTTATGTTAGCATTGATGATTTTGAGCATATAGTTGTATTTTTTATTTGTTATAAATAATAACTATATTTACTTTCAAAAATCTATTATTCTATTACTAATTCTTGCGAATAAAACTGTATTTTTTTTTTATTAAAATAGTCTTACTTATTACAGCAGTAGTTAAACACAGATAGTGCAAATAAGAACTAACTAATATATTGTAAACTACAATATTAATAACTAAATATACTATTAAGAAAAAGCAATTAATATTTTCTTATTCCAAGGTAACAAATGAACTGAGACAGAAAAAGTATTTCAACTGTGACAGAAAATCAGAGGATTTAAAAGGTCTATAATGAAAAGAATATATTAGAAAGAATGCATTACAGATTATCATGTTGGTACTTCTCTCGTAATGTAAAATTCATTTTATTTTAGTTATATTGAATTTCTTTAATTCAAATAATGTAATTTACATTTTAATTCACTAAGTAAATAAATTTAAAAAGGAAATGACTTTGTGTATTCTAATTTTCTAATTAAATATGAAACTATTGTTATGTTAAGAAGTAAACTTTAAGCTTAACTCAATCGACAAAATCGGTTTGTAAAGTGAGGTTTGCACCTACTTATATGTTATAAATTGACCTTATCTCAAGTCAAGGTAGAATTTTCAACACACTCCCTCACACTGAGGTATATACATATCGAACATGAAATTATATATTAATAGATGGTCTGATAACTGTCCGATAACGAGTGGAGTAATGTGTCAAACAAATAATAAATATCGTTAAGATGGACTGTAAAATGATTCTAATACTATGTTAAGTGTTAAGAAGTGAACTTTAAGTCTAATTAAACACTTTCAACATGTTTAAAAAAAAAAAATATATCAGCGGATGTAATGGAAAAAATGTCTTCATGAATTTTAGTAATTTCAAAACAAAATAAAACGAAATGTACATTATTATACTTTGAAATTATGCGTGAAGATAAGAAATAAAAAGAAATGTCCAGTGGTACATTTGTTCACAGTTTTTTTTGTTGAATATAATTTGGACATAATTTCCAACATCATTAATTATTTGAGTATAAGCGAACTCCTCCTTGCAAATCTGGAACCTTGTCTTTCTCTGAGTACAAATTTAACATTCTAATATTCATAAATATGTCAGAGAAAAATCAAATACCTACATGCAACCAATTAATCTCCTGAATTTCCACAGCAATAAAAACATTTTTGGATGTGTAAAAGAAACTAATGTATATCATTAAATATATCATCATTATTTTTTTAATGTTTAAGAATTGAAATAAATGCCAAAAAGACGAGTTAATAAATATACATTTGAACTGAAGCATCCTTGCTTAAATTTCTAACAACTGAAGCATCCTTGTTTTTGTTACTTTAACAAACACTTATATTTTAATAATATTGTTAAAACCAAATGTTGGTAATGCAATATTCTTTTTCCGTACTTTAATTAATAGTAAAATTAGATCTTAAATTTACTCGTAAAACACGACAACAGTTTTTAAATAAAACTAAGAACTGATAACTTAAAAAAAGCAGTTTTTATATAAAATGTGATGTAGGGCATGATAGAAAAGAGAGAAAGAGATTAGATTAGAAGTGAAAATCCCTCGAGATGCTACATGCAAAGACCTATGTGATTAGACGTAAATCGAGATGTTAGTTCCTAAATATGCCGAGTTTACAATAAACCTTGATGTTTAGTGGTTATGGTGAGTTCCTTCAGAGGCTCAAGAAAAAGTGAATAACGAAAACTCATCATCTCATGCAGCTGCAATAGAACTGCACTGTCGGATCAAACCTCCCTATGTCAGTCTTCATTGAAGTGTGTGTTTATCTCTCTCTCTCTCTCTTCTCTCTTTGCAATGGTTCAAACACCGCATTGGTCCAAAACCAACTCATAAAAAATGCATAAAGCAGATGAATATAGTATGATTGTATGCCACTCTACTGTTATAGAGTCCAAGTAGGTGATGATAATAAAATATAGTAAAAAGCTTGTTTTTCCACTTACAAGCCAAGCCCTATGCTATGCTGCTACTGCTTCTTCCCTCGAGTGGTATTTCCAAAGCAAAGCAGAAAGACAAAAACCGCAGGTTCTTTCTTTCATCTCTCTACATATCCATTATTTTATTATTTTCAGCTCTTCTTTTTCCTCTCAACTGTCTTGTCTCACTGTCTTTTTCTCAAGTGCTCTAACCCTTCCCCACTGTCTTCAAAACAAACTTTGCAGGCTTGTTGTCAGAGAGAGCCTTCTCTCTCTCTCTATCTCTCTCTCTCTCTCACACACAGGTATATCTGCCAAAGATATAAAGGAAGCAGGAGAGGACACTGCAAAAGCTTTTTTAAAAACTTGGTCTTTACACATCCATCACACCTAACGAAGTTAATTAGCCACATAGTGGTCACACGCTAATATTAAGCCAGAATTAATAGTGGTGGGTTCTTTCTTTATCTCTCTCTCCATGGACTTGCATCTGAAGCAATGGAGAAACCAGCATGAGTCAGAGGAACAACATTCTACAAAGATGCCAAAACTTCTCCCTGAATCCCATCAACAGCCACAAACACAATCATCTGCCTCTGCACTCCCTTTGTTTGTACCTGAACCCAACAGCAAAGTCAGCACCCTGTCAGATTCAACATTACCAGCTACTAACAGATTTCCCAGTAAGATTTTTATTATCTCTTTTCTTCCTTTTGGCAGAAAGAAAGTTTGATTAGCTTCAGGCATTAGTTGCTGCTTACTTTTCACATTTGCTTCTTCCACTACAACCTTACCCACCTTTCTTTTCTTCACCCCACTCCCCCCTTCTTTGGCTCTTACGTTTTCTCTCTTTTTTTTCCCTTTCTGGGGTGGTCTCCTCTTTATTACACCTGTTCAGGGATGGGGAGCTACTTCAGCTTGTCTCAGTGGCAGGAACTTGAGTTGCAGGCTTTGATCTTCAGGTACATGTTAGCTGGTGCTGCTGTTCCTCCTGAACTCCTTCAACCAATCAAGAAAAGCCTTCTTCATTCCCCTCACTATTTCCTCCATCACCCTCTCCAACATTACCAACCTGCTTGTAAGTCTCTCTCTCTCTCTCTCTCTCTCTCCCCCATCTTTATTACCTCTCTCTTTTTATATTCTCTACTGTCATACACCGTTCTCCAATACATTACGACATTTTTCTCGTGCTTTGTGACCATTCAACTTCCCCAAAGACCTTCTTTTTAGTTTGTTTTTAAATCAACTTCCCCCAAGACATTGATTTACTTGATTAAAGGAAAAAATAGTTTACATTTTGGACAAGACATACTTGTTGCATCGGTGGTGGTTTCATAGCCGACCTCTCGTGTGGAATAAGGAAGATGGTTGTGTTACAGCGACCTTGGAAACCCAATAGGAAGTAAAGAATGATGTAAGACAACCAAAAGCTATAACTAGGAACCTGTTCAAAACACATCCAAGACCTAAAATACAATGACACTGATAAGCCCAACAGTAAATTTCAAAATCTTTAAATGTATAGAATGTGGATCACTTGAGACAAAGGCCAATGACATCACCTAATCTGTATGGTTATCTTATGAGCGGAATAAGGTTTTTTTTATGTTATAACTTATTGCATCATCGTCAGTGTTAACTATTGGTTTAAAAGTGAAGGGAAGAGTTGTGTGAACATGTTTTGTTTGTTGGATCAGTGCTGCAATCTGGGTATTGGGGTAGAGGAGCGATGGATCCAGAGCCAGGGCGGTGCCGGAGAACTGACGGGAAAAAGTGGCGGTGCTCGAGGGACGTGGTGGCTGGAAAAAAGTACTGTGAGCGCCACATGCATCGTGGAAGAAACCGTTCAAGAAAGCCTGTGGAACTACCCACACCAAGTAGTGCTAATTGCGGTGGTAGTGGTGGTGGTGGTGGAACTCTAGGACTAGGTGCTTCATCTTCCATTTCTTCACCTCCGCTAGCTACTGCTTCTCTGAAATCCCCTTTTGATCTTCTTCATCTTAGTGAACGGTAATCTTAATTCCTTAATGGCTTGGTATGTCTTTGTTTATGTATGTGGTTTGTTAACAAGATGACAGCCTAAGGGTTGTGTTAAGATTTTAGTTTGGACTTAATAATTATGATATGAGTGTGTAATAATAAAAGGCAACTAGCGAGTGAGGTTTGTTTTGGAAAAAGGTTAGTTGTATGTGAGCTTTTGATCTGAAATATGGTGGGGTACACTTTACTTGTGTGGTTTATTTTATTTCCTTTTCTGTCAGTGTCGTTTCTGAGATGAATTCATTGACGTTGAAAAAGTAAGTTTGAATTTGATGCATTCGGATTTGAACAAGTAATCTAAGGAAGGAGATATATGCTTGTGACTTATTGTACTACTGCCTAACTCGGATAGGGACCCCAGTGAGGGTATGGCCACAATGTCTCGTACTTGGGAAATAAAGCAGGTTATTAGAACAAGATGCCAAGTGGGATCTATATGCTATTTAATGTATCTCCAATGTAAAACACATCAGGAAACAAAGGAAAAAAGGTCATACATTTTGTTTCTATTACTGTCTTGAAAACGGGTGTCTCTAAAACTCAATGATTAGGGTAATAAATAACTAACCAACTTTTTATTGAAAATAATGAAGGAAACAGAACACTAGTTTTCGATTTTGTTCCTTAACTGGTATGCATCTAATTTGGCTTTTTAAAAGAGTGAAAGGACAAAAGATGTTATAATTCATTAAGTGCATGCCAAAGACACTAGTTTAGATTTGGCAGAAATAATCCCCAACCGTTCTTTTCTAAACTAAATTTAGTAATGTTTGTGTAGCTGTGTTGGACGACCACAATTTATAATTTTGTGACCGTTTTGATAGAAAGGCTCAAGTTGATATTTTTGCTGTCTTGTTACTGGGCCACATGTAGCTCTTCTGGGACCAAGAATGAAGACAAGAGCTTGTTTGAAAATGAAGATAATGTGGGTGGGGATGGCAGAGCAGGTGGGCATATGCTGAGGCATTTTTTCGATGATTGGCCAAGATCAATGCAACACTCTGACAACGTTGAAAACAATGCTGCCCCTGCCCGGATAAACTCTTCCACATGTCTTTCTATTTCTATGCCCGGAAATGCTTCCTCAGATGTCTCTTTGAAATTGTCCACTGGCCCAACAAATGAGAATGTCAATCTCCAGTCGGACCAACTGCAGTTGAATTGGGCCGGAGGATGGGCCGGAGGTAGTCAAGTGGCTTCAATGGGTGGGCCACTTGCTGAGGCACTCAGATCATCTACTTCAACTTCATCTCCTACTAGCGTTTTGCATCACTTGCCTCCTGCTTCTGGATCTGAGACCAGCTTCGTTACCACCTGAAGTTACTTTCTTCCTAGCCCAATTAGTTTTCTGCTTTTCTTTTGGATTAAGTTTCAATTTTGGAGCATTATTGGACAAAGGTGTTATATGTTGGTATCCTTCCTATGGAGTGCTTTTCTTTCTTTGTGTGAAATGAAAGGATATGGTCGGTTCCTGGTTGCGTCACCTTTCCTATAATAACTCACACTGGATTGCATATAACACTCGATTCATCTTCATATGCCTTTGTCTACACAAAAACTATTTCAGCTCCTAAATTTCCCACTAAGTAATAAACAGAAAAAATTGAAGCTCATGTAAGTAAGATGATTCAAATACAGTGAAAGCAACTTATATTATTATTTGCTTCTTATGCTCAAAATTTGAAACAATGAGAACAGCTTTACTTGCTCCGATACCCCTAAAATGTTTGACCAAAACTGTTTGACCAAGTCGTTCTCCTTTTAGTGATGGGAGGAAAAGAAACCAAAAATAACACTTGGGATCTTAGGAAGCTGACTCCAAAAGGAATTATATCAGCAACTGCAATTGTATTTTTGTCATTTGTTTAACCTTAGTTCTTTGTTTCACCTTTAATTTAATGAACTAATTATTTTGTCCTTTAGTTCACTAAAAACAGTTATAGGAATTTAATTACTTTATTCAGTCTTTTATCTTAAACGGTGAAATGATTTTTCATCTTGTGGAATTGCAATTATTAATTAAATAATTTTTATCTATGTATTAATAATTAATTTGTATATTTTAGAAAAATAATGAATATTCTAAGTCATAACACACTTTAGCTGTATTAAATAACTTCTAACTTTATTTTATCTATTTATTATAATTAATTTTCCACTTTTATTTTATGTTTTGATGAACAAAAACCTAATTTAGTTTAAGTTACAAAAGTTGTATTTAAAATTTATCATTTAAAAAGACTTAACCACTTAAGAAAATAAATACTTAAATCTTATTTTTAAAATATAGGAAAACGCAACTATAATTATTAAATTTAATTCTTATAACTATAATTACTAAATATGTGGAAGACTCGTTCAATATAAAAAAAAACCATTACATATATCAGGAACCAAAGATAAGTTGAAATCAGGAGACTTCCCTAGAAAAAATTAAAATGATATTAAGTAAAAACTTTTGTTTTTAGAAAATAAAGTTTTCTTAATCACAATTTCTATTTAAAACAAAAAAGGAAACCAAAGTCATCATCAAAAATACAACTTTATAAATATAAAATAAAAAAACAGAAATCATGATTTAAATGACGATGCGGACTTACAATTTGCTTAAAATTACTGAAATCCATAAAAATTTTGCACATGGATGCAGAAGCCTGAACTCTTGGGATGGAAAGTCTAAGCACTGAACCCATTGGCCATTGATATTTCCTTCTGGAACATTAGACCGGAAATGATTTGCTGTTGGTCGTGAATATAAACTATTCTAATTTTAAAAAATAGAAGTTGAAAGGAATTGAATGTCCAACCAACCCTTCTTAAAGTAAGGTAATTATTTTATTTTCTTTTTTCCACCACTTATGATGTCTTTATTACACGGATAGGAATTGCTACAACTCAACTTTTAAATATAAAGGAGACAGCTACCGAAAAAAGACCCCAAAGCAAAAGTCAGCCTCCTGCAAAATTTTCCACTATAAAAGTCCCTTTGAAGCCTCTAACTCTTAGGAGAGTATACACTATGGAGATTGACATTTGAGACTCAGGTTACTGACATTGAATCCTAAAAAGAAAAAACAGAAAGATGGGTGTGATATGCAATTATTACCTAGCAAGGCACATGTACAAGATTTCGAGTCAGTGTCCTGCCTCACTAAAGATTAACTAGCGCTCCCACTTATTCCACTTCAAATATGCTTCTTTGGTGTTTCAGTGTCGGTTAAACAACCAGATATTGGTTGGCTAGTTTCACTGGGGATTTACTGCTGCCATCGTGTACTTGTAACATTTGTC